CTAAAACCTCTTTTCCTGGGTTTTCTTCATTACCTTTTATAAACAACATTTCACAGATCAAATCCAAGATTTTTCCACTGTTTCTAATCTAGGTTTTGTCGGTTTTGAGTAAAAATCCCACCTTTTTGAAGAAAACAAGCAAAAAATCTGTACATGGGTTTTAGATTTTTCCAATCATTCTTGCAAAAGGGTTTAAGAGTTGTAAATTAAGCAAAGAATCTTCTTCTTCAGACATTGTGAAAAAACAATATCTTCTTGAGCTTTGGGATTTCGAAGCTTTTTTTTAGAGAGAAGATGGGATGTTCTCATTCAAAGTTAGATGATGAAGAAGCAGTTCAGATCTGTAAAGACAGGAAACGTTTCATCAAACAAGCAATAGAACACAGAACTAAGTTTGCTTCTGGTCACATTGCTTATATTAACTCACTTAGAAAAGTCTCTGATGCTCTTCATGACTTTATCCAAGGAGACAACAACTACAAGGAGCCTCCTCCTCATGAGTTTCTTGTTCCTAGTCATGGTGACTCTTTTGTGACTCCGGTTAAGAGAAGACCACCGAGTAATCGCCGTAGAAGTAGTAGCAGGAGCGGTAGTGGCGGTGAGTTCATAACGATTTCGCCTTCTTCGATGCCTCCACATCCTTCGAAAATGATTCAAGATAAGCCAAGATCGAAGGTTAGAGCGAATTACTTGATGGCTAATAGAAGTAGACCGGTTAGAGTCGAGCAGAGATCCCCTGAAACGTTTCGTGTTGAGTCGTTTTCGCCACCGAGTCAGCATCAATATGGAGAAGGAGATGGTTTCTTTGGAATGAATATGAATATGAATACTACTGCTTCGTCTTCTTCTTCGTTTTGGAATCCGTTGAGCTCTCCTGAGCAGAGATTAAGTAGTCATAACATTCCGCCTCCTTCACCGCAGAATTCGCAGTGGGATTTCTTCTGGAATCCGTTTTCGTCGTTGGATTATTACGGATATAGTTATGATAGGGGAAGTGTTGATAATAGGAGTGGTATGGATGATGAGATTAAAGGATTGAGACGTGTTAGAGAGGAAGAAGGGATTCCAGACTTGGAAGAAGATGT